AAGAGCGTCTGCAATCCTCCCTGAGTCACTGGTGGGTGCTGGGACGGGAATTACGCGCTGCCTGTGATGGTTTGGATCATGTCCCAGTGAGCGATGGCTGGCGGTAGGTCTGGCACAGGGCTGCTGTTTCTTGGCTCCTCTGAGCCTGTCTCCCTTGCTGATTCACACAGGCGCCTCTCCAGCTTGGGTGAAGCATCGCCATCCCCAGGCCCTCTCCTGGGGCAGCCGGTTTCCTGCAGCAAAACAGCTGCAAACCCTGCAGCAAACCCCCTGCAAGGCTGGCAGTGGAGGCAAACGTCCCTGGCCTTTGGGAACCCAGAGGTTTCCGTTCTGCCCTCTAAGCAGGCAGGCTTGCCTTTCGCCTGAAGTGCTCTTTCCTGTGCCCTGAGGTGCCCTCAGCTGTGCAACACGCTTCTGAGCAAGGCTGAGGTGGAGGAGGAGCTTTCATGGAGATGGCAAGTCTCCATTTTTAGGAATGGGATCTGGGTCGGGTGCGTCATGAAGTCATTTAAGGAGATAAAGGCTCTCATTTCAGCAAGAGAGTTGGAAGGCCTTGTACCACAGCAGAGTGCTCCTTGCAGGAAGAGATGGGAATAAATGTGGTTGATTTAATGAGCAGCAAGAGCTCTGAAGTAGTTTCTGGATGGGATTTTGGGTTGCTGACTGTGTTTGTTAAGGCATGCCATGTAACTTTGTTGCCTAAAACATCTGTAACATTGTTTACCCCAGCTGGAAGTACTTCTGGAGTTAAGGTAAACCCTTAAAGAGCAAAATGTGGATTTTAATTTTTTTTTAATGTGTTCTAACACAGTGCTGGATTAACTTGCTAAACCATACCATCAGATGACCTAAGTCCTGGAGTGTAACAGGACTCAGGAAATGGGATGCCTTGTAACTGGGAGAGAGCACTAATAAGAGAGAGGAAGGAAACATGTAATTCCTCAGGCTGCATTTTGGTGGCTCTCGTTGACGTGAGGACAATAGAATTGCTCCTTATTAAGCATCAAAGAACTGGGAACCCCGTTTTCAGAGGAGAAGAGGTCAGCTCTTTAAAAATGAAAGGAGCAACATGGACAGTCATCTCTGGTTTGAAGCAGAAGGCTGTTCATTTGGAGGGACTGAACAGGGTAATTTGCAAACTCCAGTTGGAATAATAAGTCGTTATGCTTGGAATATGATTAGGGCTCATTTTCCTGTGGGTTACCAACATTAGATGATCTAGTTGTGGTGGAGTAAGTCTGACGTTCAGCCTGGTGGAGGGCAGGGAGGCTCTCACAAGCCAGGCAGGTAAATAGCGTGTACAACCGTGAACAAGGGTGCTGACTTACAGGAGCATGTGAATATTTGCTGTGAAATACATTTTTGTTGGTTAAGTGCTTTGGCTTATTTTTGAATCAAGTGCTTCATCTGTCCACAGGATTTCCTTGCCCAGTATGGGATATTAAAGTAGAAAAGAAAATGGATGTTGCTTTCCGAAGCCTAAGGTGTCTGTGGCAGTGCTTGTGCTGTGCGAAGCACAGTACTAATCGCTGCTTTCACGCACCAGGAACCCACTGCAGCAGGGAGGTAGGGCAGTATATCAGTACTTGGCACACTGTTTCATGCCAGCCATAAGGTTACTAATGGTGATGTGTTGGCCCTGCATCCCTACGAAAGCAGCAGATACTCTTGATGACCTTACAGGAGCTGAGTCAGAGCTCTTGGAGAGGTGCTGTTGCCAGTAAGAGTGACTTAAGTGACTGACAGGGCGGGTGATGCACACAGAGGAGAAATAGCGTCCCACAGCACAGCTATAAAATTGAGCATTTCCCCCGTGAAACCATCTGAGAGCTCAGGTGTGTTGTGCTTTTGTATACATCCTGTAATGAAAAAGGTCTTCTGAATGCAAAGCCACAAGAAATGAAAACCAGAGCGGCTCTAGGTCTTGAGCAAAAAAAACTACTGCAAGATTGAGGGACCGGTGGCAAATCTCAAGGTTTGTGATTTAGGGCTGGAAACAGATGTTGCTGGTTTTTCCATTTAGAAAATTAACATTGCAGTCCTGTGCTGTGTATGAGCTTTGGTAGGTTGAGAGAAAAACATGTCACGCTTCTGATTGCAATCTTGCTTTTCTTTTTTTTCCACTGCTTCTTTCAGGCAGGATTAATACAGCCAAGAACTTGCACATAATTAAGTAAAACTTTGAAAAAATAGAATTAGAGTTTACTGCTATAAATGAGCGATCAACAGGAAAAAGAAAGATGTCAAGTTAAGAGGCTTTGACTCTGTAACACCTAAACTGAAGGTAAAATCCCCTTGCTGCCTTTTTTTTATATACTTATTGCTGTCAACCACAAAGCTGTCTCCTGCTTGAACCAGTGCAGTGAACTCATGAAGTCACGTGGGTGGGCTCTACGTTAAGAGTAGACTTTCCCGGCGGACATTAGGGCCAAGACTTGGCCTCTGCTTTCCCCAGCCGTGTCTGTGACTCTTGAAAGACTAAGATCTGCTGCAAGAAAATTTTAAAAAGTGTAAAAATCTCTACTCTGCAGAATAATTTTCAGGTTGTGAAACTGTTTTCCAAAGAAGTGTGCTTTGATGCTTGTCATGTAACCATTGTTGTGTGGTTCTCTGAGCACTTTGTTGTTCTTCCGTAGTTGGTGCTGCATTTCCCTCCAAAATCTGTTGCACGCTGCTGCAGATGACAACCCTGCTGCAAGCAGTAGCTGAAGCAGCGTGGCTGCCAGTGAATATTTGAAGGGATTCTCCCTGTGTCTGCTTCCCAGTGCGGCTCCCATGGCCTGTGACGAACCCACTGCTCTCTCGGGCATCTTCACGCGCCAGAACTCTGCCAGCGCCGTCTCTCTGGACTTCGAACCTGACACCGACTACAACTTTGTTGAAACCTTAGAAGATCGGTACAAGTGCGCCTACTGCCACCTCGTCCTCCACAATCCCCACCAGACAGGATGCGGTCACCGATTTTGCCAGCAGTGCATTCTTTCTTTGAGGTCAGTACAAACTCCTGCTGCATCCGCGATCTCCCGGTACTCCTGTTCCTAAAAAGAAGTCAATGCCTTCTATAAATCAGCAAGTGAGAGCCATAATAATAGCACTGATCTGATAAAATGCAGAAGGAGTCAGTGGAATGACTCTGCTGAACTCAGTGACTGCGTGCTCAGTGTTTTAAAGGCGTCTTTAAAGACCTTGCCTGGTGCTGGTGAGGAATACTTTGGTAACTGCAGGGAAGTCAGCATAAAGGAATTGTGGATGTAGGCTTAAGCACTAGTGCATGAGATGCTGTTTTGGTCTGTCTAGTGTTGTGCTGTTCAGATGAATTTGTTGCATTAATGTCTCGCAGTATTGTCACTGGTGGTTAGATTAGGCTGTTTTCATTTGCCTCTGTATAATTTCTTTGATTTTAGTGGAGTTATAGAACTGATGTTAGTATTTGCCAATACCACAGTCAGATCACAAGGCTGCTGGCATACATCTGCTTGGGATTTACCTGTGGGTGCAGATGAATTCACCCCACAGACCTCTCTGGAAATACGTTATGTATTGTTTGGTGTTACCAAGGGCAGGATTTGGCCTGGGAAGGCTGCAGAGAAGCCTGGTTATGTGGGTGAATGCTGCCATTTGCCTTTTATGAATTTTGGATGCTTCATGTTTGCTGCTTTCTCTTTGGGTTGCCTCCCTTTCGGACTGCCTCAGTAAGTGTTTGCCCATCGTTTACCGTAGGACCTCTGGAAGCCTTTTAAGACAGGAGCCCTTCGATCTCCCTTTACTGACGTAGCAAGGAGTGTGCTGCTGCGCTAAGCAAAGGCTGGGTTTAATGCATGCAATGGGATTTTTCAGATATGACGTTTGCAAGCAGCAGATGGCCAGAGAGTGACAGTCCTCTTAATTAAAAACCATCTTATCAACACTCGTAGGACAAACCCTGCTTTCTGTTACATATTCACTGTCGCAGCTTAATACCGTCTTAGAGCTGTGGGCAGAATTTGGCTGTGTAGTTGCCAGGCAAAAGTGATTTTGAAGTACTTTTTTGCTTTTCATGGTATCTAGTACTGACTTCTGCCAGAGTCAGATTCTAGCATAGCCCAATTTCATAAAAGAAATCAATTTTTCTGTAGGTTAACATGACTCTTCTTTTGATCTAGAGAGTTGAATGCAGTACCCACCTGTCCTGTCGACAAAGAAACAATAAAAATGCACGAGGTAAGTGGCTGTAGTTTTGCTTCAGCAGTCAACATCTGCCTGGAGAAAGCAAGACAGCTGAGAACATGGTGGCTCGTAGTCTGTTAGTCCTCAGGGGCAGAGCAGTTTTTGTCTCTGAAATGATGCTAAGGGAAGCAGTGTTTCAGTGATGCTCTCCCAAAAAGGAAGTATGGGAGTATAGCTAAAGCTTTATTTTATACCTCAGTTCTGAAGTGATTTCATCTTAGTTCTCTGTATTTCCAGTGGTGTCAAAGCATTTCAGAAAGTCTTCAGATAGTTGTTTTGGTTTGGGTTTTTTTTTAGGGGAGAGTTTATTGACTTACATTTTAATGCCCCATCTTGCTGGTCTTTTTTTTTTTAATTGTCTTTGTTTTGACTTGGTTATAATTTGCTGCCTTAACTATTTCCATTATATATTATTAACCCTGCAGACTTAATTTACTTTTTGGTAACTTTTCAGAGGAAAAGACAAGGTCATGCCTCTTATTTTGCAAGCTACTAAGGGTTGGGGTTTTTTTGGTAATGGATTCGTTTATCCTTATTTATATGCCACAGCTTGCAAGTATGCTGCATACTTGGTCCTGCTAGAATGAATTTCCCAGTGAAACCCAATGTCTCCTTCCTCTCTCCTATTGCTGACAGGAAATTGTAATCAGACTTTCCACATGGCTTTTGTTTTTCACTCATTGTCTTCTACTTTGCAAATTCTGATGGCAGTAGTGCAACAGTGAGCAGCTTTGTAATGGTCCTTATAGCAAGATCTCTAATAAGACTGAAAGTTTGATCTAGGGGCTTAATTTGCTTCTGCATTCACAGCTGAGAACGGTGCTGTTTCTCAAAGTCCATAGAAGGGATATCTCTGCACCATCTCCATCCCAAAGGCATGCTGCACTGCTCAAACGTCGGAGGAGCATGCACAGAGCTGGTTTGGGGCCTGTTAGCTCCAGCTGCTCCCTTCTAGGTACATGCAGGCTTCTGCAGCAGTTTTATAGCTCCTGAGCTACCAGTCCTGCTGGATGTAGGGTGGATCAGCATCTGTGGAATAAATATATTTGGAAAAAAGAACTATGCTTATTAGAAAATTCATATATGTTTTAATTTATATTTTTACTATAAATTTTCAACATGAATTATTAAGAACAATAGCAGTAATTATGGAGTCTACACTTGTGCGCTTAAAAAATTTGTTGTGATGTTTTGCTTTTTCATATTCTTTATAACTTCCTACATGACTGCATATGAAAGCTGGTTTGCTTCCTTTACAGGTATTCAAAGACAACTGCTGTAAAAGAGAAGTTCTCAACTTGCATGTGTTTTGCAAAAACATTCCTGACTGCAATTCAAAAATAATTCTGGGACGATATCAGGTTAGTTGCTTGACCAAATTTTGAAGCTTTCAATTTTCATGCAAGCTGTATGTATTTATGATAAGCTAAATTCCAGTAATTGTCTTCAGACTTCAGAGTTATTGTAGCAATGTGGTTTTAAGTACAAAGATTATGACTTGAGTATACACTGTAAGTAACAAATGTTGAGCTCAAATACTGTGGCTGTTGGCTTGTTCCAGCTTTGCCTTAGGCTATTTGTTTAATAAGAACCATTTGCTTTATGTAGCTTTAGTATATCTGCAGTGTCTATACATACCTTCTGTATGCTTAGGTGCCACATGACAGTTAATTCAAGAGAGCTTGCCAAGACGTACTGGCCATTTGGACCTTTTCTCGGTATATCAATTGAATGAAAAGTGGAAGTCATACAAAGGACTCTCCAAATTTTCACGTTCACTTTAGTTTTGAGGTTGGAAAAGGAGGAAGTTTATGGAGGAAAGAGTATTTGGAGTTTTGTTTGAGCTGCCGAATGTTTCCGTGGGTCTGTTGGGCACGTGCAGACGCGATGAAGTACTTTGGGGTTTAATTTGCTGTTGTGTGTTGCAGGAGCATCTTCAGCAGTGTTTGTTTGAAAGCGTGCAGTGTACTAATGATGGATGTTGTGATCAAATTCTTCGGAAAGACTTGAAAGAGCATTTGAGCCAGCACTGTAAATTTCGAGAAGAAATGTGTCAGTACTGTAATAAATATGTGGTGTTAATTAACAGAAAGGTAAGATTATCACGCATTCCCCAGGAATCCATAGCACATGGTTCTTAAAGGTGCTGAGTGAAAAGTTTCCAGCATTGCAATGGGGCTTTACAACTCCTGAAACAAAATTTGGCTGAGTATCTGAAAGAGAAAGTATAATAGATGTGCTTTAAATAATACCAGTTACTGTTGCGCTCTTATAAACATCAGTGTGATATGGGGCTTGAACGTGTATGTTTTGGATTACTTTTTGCATAGTTTCCTCTATGTATACTACTTTATAAAAATGCAAAGCATTGCCTTGTTTTGCTTCTTTTTCCCCAGAATCACGAGAAAAATGACTGTCCTGATTATCCTGTGCCTTGTCTCCAAAACTGTTCACAGATAATTCTGAAGAAGGAGGTACTATTATTTTTTTCATGTACTGTGATTCAGCAGATCACACGTTTATGAAAACTGAAAAATACATTGCAGACCACATTGGCCTATGCCAATAAAACTTCATTGCTCTAAGTATTTTCTTTGTTTGGTCCTAAAAGGGCTATATGTCCTATCTTACAGGGGAGGTACTCGGTCACTGCAAACCATTGGGATTTTTCAGTATGGAAAGATATCTGGCTTGCTTATTGACTCTGAATACTCATTTTCCTCTTTACGTGATCGGTGGTGTCACAACATTGACCTTTATTCATCCTTTATGCAGGCATTCAGATTTATCAGTGTGGCAAGTTACTTAATATTTATTTCATTGCAAGTTTCTTTGTTAATACGTGCAGATTGAAAAGCACCACGCGGTGTGCCCTGAGGCAGAAGTGGACTGCCCGTATAAGCAGTACGGCTGTCTTGTAAAGGTACTGTTTTGGAGATCTTGTTTGTACTGGGACTGGAATTTGTCTCCCGAACCAATCAGAGTAATTAATCAAAATAACCAATTTTTGTTCTTTCACAACCATCTCTAGTATTGGCTAAGATGCTGTGCTAGAGAATCAGGACTGCCATTCCCTTACTGTCAAAGCACAAAGGAGACATTTTAAATGCTTGCATCAATAAATTTTTTACTAACAGCTTTGAAAATCTGCATATCTTACTATTTTATTCTTTCACGTCCCCCTCTGCCTCACTAAGGTTAAAAGAGGGAAACTTGCCGAACATGAAAATGGCGCCCTGAGGGAACACATGCTGCAGATTTTAGACAAGAACTCCCGGCTGGAAGAACAGGTGAGTTGTATTTAATGAGCACTCTTCAGCAGTTCTTGGCTGGTTGGAGGACAATACGAGATTCTACATTTGTTGCCTGGTTTAGCTCAGCCACATGTTAAAAGACTGTTTTTATCATCTTTGCACACCTCAGAAGCCAGAATAAGCTCTTCTAGTGAAGTTAGTCAATTAGATGAAAGCCTCTCTGTGCTCAGGCACATATATTCTCCACCAAGCACAGTGGGAGGCTCGTTGCCATCGCTCCCCTCATTTGCTTTCAGTCTCTGCTTACAGTGGATACAAGGTTTGCAGATAAAGCATTTTAAAGTTTCAGTGGCCGGTCAGATTGCTCCAAAAAGGAGCCTTTAGATGCCCAAGTCACCCCTTCTGCAGCAGCAGCACGGCATACTGCAGAGCCAGTTGCAAGCACCTGTCCACTCACCATCATTTCTGCAGCTCCCAGCAGGCGGCACTGGGTATATGCCCAATCCTACCAAGGTGAACGCATCCCAGCTGATGGTTGACTTACTCTTTTGCTTGTTTATGGTAAAAATAAGTGTCCCAAAATGCTACAACTTGGTTTTGGAGTTAGTATCCCTCACTGACTCATCTCTCTTACTGGTTGGACCTCAGGAGATAAAAAAGTATATATAGACACAGAAACACACATGCACATGAGTGCATGCAAGTGTGTATTATGCCACTATAGCTCCGAATGGATCATCATGATGGGGGTGAGAGATATGAGTCTCTTTGCACCTATTGCCACACGGATATGTTAAAGAGTGTGCTACCTTATGTTCAGTTCTTGCAGTGCTTACCCACGAATTGCAGATTTAGTGCTGTATCTAACTAAGTTAGAGCCTTTGCTTTCCACTTTCTCCTATATAGTCGCGTATGTTTTAATTTGATCATTGTATATTTTGGTGTGCCTTAGCGTTTTTGCTGTTTTTTCCATCTGTAGATATCTGACCTGTATAAGAGCCTGGAATGTAAAGAGATTAAAATCCAGCAGCTGGCAGAGGCCATTAAAAAGTGTGAGAAAGAATTCAGACAGTTTACACAACTGTTTGGTAAAAACAGCAACTTGATGGTAAGCACACAGGTGAGACATTGATTTTACCTTTTTTGCCAATTGATTTCGTGCACCCTGAATTATGTTTATCCAGTAATAGTTAGCACGGCAATAACAAATCTCCCAGACACTTCACAAGCCCTTCTTGGTTTTTTCAATACAGTATTGTCCTTTCATTTTCACCAATAAAGAAGTTTGGACATCTGATCTGAGCAAAAAGCACTGTATAAATCCTCATGGCCAGATCGCCGTGGCAAATATACAGGTGTCAATTTGAATAATCAGTTGACTGAAGTGATGCAGTGCAAATGGATCTGAATAAGAGGTGGCTTCTCAGTCCATAAATGGCAAATTAATTGTGAAAGAGCATTTTGATACATTCTTAAGCCAGCAGAATACTTTTGAATGCACCATATAGTTGATATTGCTGACATGCTAAAGGCTTCTTTATCTTATTTCAAATGAAATGGATGATCTTATGAATGTCTCTTGTCTCTGCTTCCATCCTTTTCCAATGGCATGAACTGGTAAGGCCCTGGCCAGTCACCTGGATAAGTCTGCGCGCCTGGAATCACAAGTGAAACAGCTAATACAGATGGCAAACCAGCAACAAAGCAAATTAGACTTGCGACCCCTGTTTGACACAATTGAAAATGTAAAACAGAAGATTGCCCTGATGGAGACATACGATCAGCGCTTGGGTGCGTGGGCACTTCTGGTTCTTTTCTGCACGGGTGTGGGGTTTTTGCTGATTTACTGGTGGCTAAGTAGAGGCTCTGGTGCTACAGTGAGTCAATTGCAGCTCTTCACCAGGAAGGGCTTTCTTCTTGCTTTCTAAGACCAAGCCATGGTGGCGCGTGCTGCACCCTCCCACCTTCCCCTGCTCCACAATGACTTCTGAATTCCTGTGTCACTGCCAGGGCCAAAGAGCTGGCCTTGCTCAGGCTAGTGCACTGTGCTGGAGGCAGTGATACTGTCCATAGTTGGGCATTGAACCTGGTTTGTAGTTACTGATTTTCCTTATTCAACTACAAGCTGCAATTACAATTAAAAAAAAAAAAAAAGTTAATACGTATAGTGACACTAGTTAACAGCCTCTACTCAGGCTTCAGTAGTTCAGTATTATCAGCTCAAGTCTGGTTGCTTTTTGTATCCAGTGCTCTGACAGTTGTATTTTACCAAATGTTTCTCTTCCCCACCCCTCCTACAGTTGTTTTGGAAGGTCAGTCCAGCAAACATGACCTCCAGATCAATATTCACAAAGCACAGCTCAATAAAAATGAAGAACGATTTAAGCTTTTGGAAGGCACGTGCTACAATGGGAAATTAATCTGGAAAATCACGGACTACAAGATGAAGAAAAAAGAAGCGGTGGAAGGCCGCATCCTCTCCATATTCAGCCAGCCCTTTTACACCAGCCGCTGCGGGTACAGGTTATGTGCGAGAGCCTACCTGAACGGGGACGGCTCCGGGAAGGGAACACACGTGTCTCTCTACTTCGTAGTGATGAGAGGGGAGTTTGACTCGCTGCTAGTGTGGCCCTTCAAGCAAAAAGTTACACTAATGCTTTTGGACCAAAGTGGGAAAAAAAATCACATTGTGGAAGTCTTTAGAGCTGACCCCAACAGCAGCAGTTTCAAAAGGCCAGATGGAGAAATGAATATTGCCTCCGGATGCCCACGCTTCGTGTCGCACACGGTCCTGGAGAACACAAAGAACACCTACATCAGAGATGACACTCTGTTTTTGAAAGTGGTTGTGGATTTAACCGATCTGGAGGAACTGTGAAAAGCCTGCCCGATCAATGTGACTGCTTTAACCATTAAGAAATGCTTTCTTGGTGACTACCAGCCATGCAATAGTGAATTGCCACTAGTCAAGCTACTGATAATGTTTTGAGGCTTTTGGACCGCATAACAGATAACGAATTGCCAAAGCATCAGCCTTTCCTTTTATAACCTTTTTTTTCAAGACTGCGTTTTTAAGGCAGCTAGAAGTCCAGTTTGATGCGACCATGCATTTCATCCAGACTTGGCTCAGCCTGGGCTGGGGGAAATGCTTGGCTCCTATCACCAGACTGGTGTTTGGAGATGAAACTCCTCCAGCAAGCCCCCTGGAGCCCAAGCAGGCCTGTGGGCTCCTGTCCCTCCCACAGAACTGAAGCCATGCCCAAGTGTGCAAGTGCATTTCACCTGTCTGAAATGGAAATATTTCAACATTAGCATATTTGAATCAATGTATCTTGATCCCTCCTGGATTTTTGAAGCGGAGAGAATGGCTTCAGTCAGGCAGGGAAAAACATTTGCCTGGGATCTTGCATTTTTTTAAATTAATTGTTTTTTCCAGAAAGCCCAGAGAAAGATGCCAATGCCTCTTACTTTTCTAGCCTGGTATTTCAGCTGTATAGAGTCCCCCCGGTCCACAATATCTTTGTTATGTCCTTTCCGTTCCTGCCTAGTGCCTTGGGACTGGTTTCCATTGGTGGTAAACATCCACAGTCCCCATCTGAAGTCAAAAGAAGCCGCAGGTGCTTCTCGCCTCTCAGGACATGGCCAGAAGTGGGGTACTCGGCCAGCCTGCCAGCTCTTGGCTGCGCTGCTGGGAGAAGGAGGGCAAAACTCCTGTGCTTTGCTCCCACATCTGCACAACAGAGATGTTTTCTGGCCTACCAGCTCTACAGAAGGCAGGAAGAGCTTTGGATATCTGCTTGAGAAAAAGCCCAAGTAACATGCACTGTTCCCCTCTGCTAGAAATTGGGATGTTTGAGATAGAAGGAGGAAAATGGGACTAGGGAGTGAAGTTGCCATAAGAACCCAGTTCTCACAGGTAGTGCAGCTCTAGCATGTGTTAAAAGGTGAGACAGCTGCTGAGTAACAACCACTAACTGTGATGTCTGAAGATCTTAATTTTTATTCCAAGTTCAAGGGAACATGTGCATTGTGCAGGGTTTATTTGAGACACACTAAAACCACCAAGATCAGGCACTGAGGAACAAGTGACAAAGACTACACGTGCCTTTTTAAAGCCTTTTGGGTGCCTGTAAGAGGGATGTAATTTTGCACACTTGGTCATTTTGTTATTACAAGTGACAGAATTTTGTGTCTCATCTCTCACAGATCAGGTAGTGAAACACTGCAACGTTAACCATTGCTCCTGCGGTCCGCTGGCAGAGCAAACCCGGAGCTTATCAAGAGAGCAAGAAACCAAGCTGAGTCTAGACCAAGAGTAAACTAGGCAGGATAAAAATCAAAACAGGGGACAGACTGCAAGGTATAAGGTAGAAAATTCAAGAAGGCAAATGTGGCAAAATCAAAAATGCCCTTTCTGTGCAGGATGTTGATACTAAGATGAAGGCAAAATACTGTATTTTCTATCTGCAGTCTCACTGCTAGGCACTTAACTTTCCCACGGGGTTTCTGGGACATAATTCAGAGACAAATATTTTCAAATCCAGGGGTGGGAGGGAAGCGACCTTGGTTATCAGTACCTTATGGTGAGTTAGCACATCCGAAATCTTCGTTTTGATTTAGATGTCCTTTTTGTTGTACGATGTCAGGATGTACTGGGGTTTTCCATGTTCCCAGGGACAGATGGTGAGGAGTGGATTTTCTTCTTTTGTATCGCCATGACTGACTTTAAGAGTCATTTTGGCTGTAAACCAGAGAGAATTAGGCCTCATGTCCCTAACACTTTGTTACAGAAAGAGGAAGCTTGGTTTGGAAATGGTGTGGCATTCTAGGACATCAATCCTGAGCCTCGGACGTGGACTTCATGTCGATTATTACTTTAATATTTGTCATGTAACTTTCAAAGTGGCACAACTTGCATAAAAACCACTAATAACTGACGGAAACTTACCACCCGTGTTTCCTGGGACTCTCCAGTATGTTGAGTGTAAAGTACAGAAAGCGATAAAGAACTTTGACAATCGAGGGAGGCAAGATGGAAAGGATGCAATCTGTATCCTGGCAAATTCCCAGCCTTCTCTGCCTCCACCACCCCATGCGTAAAATGGGGATAATAATACTTGCAGAGGTGTTAGGACTATTTAAATGTTTCTGAAGAATTTTAAGCATGAAAAGAGCTAAGTATTATTAAGACTCGATCTCTAACTGTTAAGAGTAGGTGATGGCATAGTGACGTGGATAAGTGTTTAGTGTGTCCTGGACAGATTTTGAAAGCATGTTCCATTTTAGCCAGTCTGTACTGCAATCTCTCCTCTACCTACCAGTTGGGTTTAGGTTTTTTGCCACAAATATTCCTTTTAAAATTTTGAAGCACAAATGATTCATCCTGGGTGATGGAAACATCCCTTTTGAAATACTACCTGTTTTATAAAGAATTAGTTGAGAAAATTAATTTTTTTAAAGACAACCTTCTTTAAATTGGTTCTTTTTATTACAACAATTGAGAGATTTATGTTAAAATATTCAGTGTTTTTTACTACTTGTAAACAGGATTTTAAATTTCATCCCATTCCTAATAAAAAAATATTGTATAGCATGAATTGTCAGGAAGAATTTTGATGTTGCATGAAAAAACACCAAAAAGCTTTTCAATAATACTGTACTGGGTAAGTAACCAAAAGAGCGTAGGGTATTTCTACATCAGCATACAGTATGTTTTTAATGTATTTATTGACAGTTTGTAGTTGTTTGAATATCTCTTACTATGATACAGGCATTTTTCTAGCCAAATGTCATCACTGTATACGTAAATTAATGTAAGAATAAATAATTTTACCATGCTTCTGGAGTGAGTGTGGCATATATTCCTTTTGACTGGATTTAAGCAGACTTTTTAGAAGGATGTGGAGTACTGGGTATTTGCACCCAAAACTTTGTTTACAATCCCAAAAAAACCCAACATTGCTTTAGATTAAGCATCAATATGCTTCACAGATATTTTGGGTTATACGTGAATATCGTAAAGCAGCTGCAGCAGAAGTTCAGTAAATTTTAAGCAAAGCTACATCAGACAAACGTCCATGAATCTATTGGAGGATCTATTGGAATCAAACCAGGACGTTATTTCCGTTTGGAGCAGGTTTGACTTCAGCTGAGGTTGCATTTGTTTCAGTTCAGGCTAGTAAAAGAGGAATAGTTTCAGTATCCCATGATTACTTCATGCTTGAGAATGTGGTATTTTTAAAATGAGAACGGAAAACTTGGTGGGGTTAAACCCAAAGTGTTGGAAATCAGCTTGGGAAAAACATCAACATCTGACTCCATTTCCTCCGTGAGAGCTCAAACACCCGCTCAGTGCCACAGGGTGTCCCAGTTCCGCATGTAGGGTGGAGGTGATGCACAGCTTTAGCACTGTGTCGCTGCAGGCAGTGCGAGAGCAGCCTTCACACTGCGACAGAGTGGGAAACGAGGTTCCAGAGCAGGGCTCAAGCTCCTGTAGTCGATTTACAGCCAACACCGCTTGACTCGTGTCTGCATGTGTGGAGATAGATAAAGGCATGCAGAAGGGCTGTGCCCACGTACTGGTGCACAGCAACGGGATGGCGGGGGAAGCTTGGCCTGGGAGGGGGTCTCCATTGCAGGAGCGGCAGCTGGACATGGCTGACCCAGAGCTGTTCCCTGGGAGCTGTGGGAAGTCCACGCGCTGGGCCACAGCCCACTCAGGCTCATGGCAGAGCTGAGCAGCAAGGTGGCACCAACCAAAGGCAGTGGCCCATGGTGGCCAGGCAGGCTGGGCGGTGTGGGGAGAAACGCGAGGAGGCGAAGATGCCCTGCGGATCCTGGGAAGCACCAACAGGCCTTGTTTGGCACAG